GGAGTCATTGTTCTTTAATGAGAGCCTAGGTCTCCTCTGAGGCTCAAAATGGGGCCCGTCATATGGAGCATTCACCTGTTCCAAGCCATAGTGTCCTAAGGGCTTCCTCCCCTCAGAGGCAGCCCACCTGCCAAGGACCATGAAAGGCTGCCTTCTTGTTGTGAGGAGGGGAGGGTCCCATGACGCAGGGTCTTTTCTTGGGGTATAAATGACCCAGTCTGCCTCTGTTCAAAGTCAAGCACTGTGTACCAACTGCATTCGAGTGAAGCCCTCACGGTAGGCACCCACTGTTTCTGACGGTGTGGGAGGCAAAGAAGAGAGGAGGGAAGAAGGAGGGAGGGAGGAGGGGCCCAAAGGAAAAATGGAAGGAGTGAGGTGGAGGGGGGAAGGGAGGGACGGAGGGGGGGAAGAGGCAGAGGGTGTGGAGAGAAAAAGAGTGGGAGAAATGGGTGGGAAAAGAGAAGGAGGGAGGAAGGGAAGATAGAATAGAGGGAGGGAAAATGGTGGGAGACCAGAAGCGGGCGGGACGATGCTCTTAATGCTGTCTGAGACCTGAAAGCTGCTCCAGGATGTAGCTACAAATCCAAAGGCACCCTGAGCCCTTCTGTGAGAAGCTGCAATGCCAGACGAACAGCACCTGGTGAATTCACCTGGGCAGGGGAAATCCACCGCTCCACGTCAGTGAGGAACCCACATACCTGCATGGGCCGATGACCCTGCCCAGGGCCACTGGTGCAGAAATACAATCGTCATCCATCATGGGCAGGCCTTGCCGAGTCTTTAGTATGCGCCAGGCATGGTGTTCTGCCTTGACAAGACCTATCCCATTTAATCCTCATGAGGCTCTGATGAAAAAACATTATATACATTTTGCTGCCCAGGAACCTAAAGCTGCCTGGCTCAAGGCATCCAACAAGCAAAAGCAGAGGCTGAACTCCCCCACTCCTGCCCGGGTCTGTCCAGCTAGCAAAGTCTTGCTCTCAGACACTGCCGAGATGCAGTGGAAGTAGGTGTCGGGAGGCAGGTTGGGGACCCAGGACCCCAAACATAACCAGCAGACCGAGGTGAGGCCTAGGGAGCCTTCTCGGTCCCACGAAGACAGCATGGTCCCCCACAAGGCCACTGACAGCCCCTGGGGCTTCCTTAGGCAAATTGAAAGGCAATGGGTCCCTCACCCAAGGGCACCTGGCTTGGCCAACGGAAGGGTACTGGACTTCAGCAACAGCCCCGCACCATCTTACACCAAGACCTTAATGGGCATGTATTGTAGATTTGGGTCGCCTCACCATTGCTCAGGGCTGACTGTGTGCTGTCACCTTCTGGCTGGCACTGCGACTTCCCATCTCTTGGCTGTCAGCGGGTTGGGGGTGGGGTGTTGTCAATTGTAGTGTCTCACCACACCCCAGTGAGTGGAGGTCCACTCGGTGGGGCCTCCCAAGCAAGTGTCACCACTAAAAATTGTGACAGTTATGCAATCAATAATTGCTAGTCTGCCTAGTTTAGATTGAATGACTGGGCCTGGGAGTTAGGGGCAAAATAGGTGGAGGAAAGTCAGACCGGCCCACCTCCGTTTAAAGCCTGGGTCTGACCATGGTCATGGTGCCCCCTTTTGGACAAATCTAGTCTTGGCCCTCTCTGAGTGCTGGTCCCTCCCTGTCCAGAAGGTAAGGCGACCGGAGAGCTGGAGTCTTAAGAGTATTGTTACCTGACAGTAGGTGGAACAGGGTCAGTGGAGCGCCTGACCCAGAGAGTGACCCAATCAATGGAATCTTGCATTTAAAGGAATAAGGTCCTCAAGTTTAGAACTTAGTTTCTAAAAACGGTGATAAAATAGACAACATTGTGGTGTTGGCCACTTTTAAGTGTACAGTTCAGTAGCATTTAGGAAATTCACATGGTTGAACAACCATCCTCACAGTCTATTTCCAGAATTTTTTCATCTTCCCCAGCTGAAACCCTGTGTTCATTATGTAAGAACTCACCGGTCGTCTCTCTCTATAACCTACTGTAAAAAATAAATTAGGCTGGACTCAGTGGCTCAGCCTGTAATCCCAGTACTTTGGGAGGCCAAGATGAGTGGATTGCCTGAGTCCACGGGTTCGAGACCCATCAGGGCAATTTGGTGAGACCTCATCTCTACAATAAATCAAAAATTAGCTGGGTATGGTAGCGCACACTTGTAGTTCTGGCTACTTGGAAGGCTGAGGTGGAAGAATCACCAGAACCCAGCAGGTTGAGGAGTGCTACTACACTCCAGTTTGGGAGACAGAGTGAGACTCCAACTCAAAAAAAAAATTAGAACAGAGTCAAGGTTACATCTGTAGCGAGGTCACTTTTGCTCATTTGCAAAAATAAACCACTCTAAGGAGGTGGAAGTGGGGCACCCCCAGGGTGACCTGGGGGCTGCACCCCCGAAATGAGCACGGCAAGAGAAAAAGAACAACGCTCACTGTGCTGACTCAACTACCTTCCCAAACAGGGTGTTAGGAAGCAGCACAGAGGCCTTCCTTGTAACAGCTACCACTTGCTGAGCCTTTAACTGCAGGCCAGAGGGTATCACTGTAATTCCTAATGTTTTTGAGCAACTTTTGTATGTCAGGCACTACTGTAAGTGCCTCACATGGATTAATAACAGCACTGGGCTGGGAGTCAGGAGACCCGGGTTGGGGGCAGTCTTGCCAATCCCAGAGCCTCAGTGATCTCACCTGTGACCTGAGCATCTGGACTAGATGATTCTCATGCCCTCCAAGTTCAGACATGCGGGCATCCTCTCACAGTGTGGTGGTAACGGTAAAATATCCCACAAGGTAAGTGTCAGGGAGTGACTATATTGTCCAAGGTCAGGGTGGCCCCAGTCCTGTCGGTGTGACTTCAACGGGGTCTCTGGCCTCCCCGGAAGTGCCTTCCCTTGCTCGCCAGTGAGTTTCTGGGGCACACCAAGCTCTGCAGACTTCCATGTCTCGCCCTTAGTTTTCAGTCCAGTTTCATGGCCTGGGAAAGAATTATTCAGAATGGAATCTCCGCAGAACAATCAGAGAGATGTTTTTCTAATCTTGAAAATGAACCTGTTCTAGGAATTTGTGAGACTGAAAAGGTTCTACGTAGAGCGTGATGCCTAAGGAATATCAGAAAATAACCAGATTGCGGAAGAATGCTTGAGAATCTCAAAGAACTCACACTCTACCCTTTTTTATTCATTTAACAAACATTTGAAGGTATGCTAGATCTTGGGACAGGTTCCTTGAGTGGTGATTCTACCGTTTATCATGTCTTCTCCTCTGGGACACCTTCCCCAATACCAATCCCTACTCACAGGCATTGTGACCCACCACGGCCCTGGGTCCAAATGCAGGGCCATCAGGATATGGGGCAGACTCCATCTCTGGGAGAACAAGTTGCAGAAAATGCTTCTTCCTCCAGGTTGATGCAACTCTGCAGAGGTCAATCTTCATAGTCGAGCACTAGCTGCATTTCAGCCTCTGCTTACTCGCTTGGCAAAACACCTTTGTGCAGTGCACAACATGTGAAACTCTTCAGCAGCCCTGGGTGTGCCACGAGGGTAGCATTCATCACGCTGTGTTATTATTCATATATTTTCCTAAAAACATATCCTAAAGCAGAATATGCACAACATAACCATATTACAAATTTTAGGGAATTATATTCCCAGAGGGCTAAAATGATTTTTAAAATCACTTTTTTTTTTACTGTTAAATATATGATTGGCTGGCTTGAGTCCAGTAAGTGTCTATTGAAATTAACTACTGGGCAGCCACGATTAAAATGCAGTGGAATGCCTGGACTCTGCGCATTTTGCCTCTTTTCCCCAAGAGCATCCCTGAAGCATGTCAACTGACCCTAGGACTGTAACAAAGTATCTAAAATGCCCACAAGACAAGGAAGGGGGAGAAGGCGCTGACCTTTGTTTTGCTAGCAGGCAGCGCCACCTTGCGATCGATAAGTGTATTCATATGTTAAGGGACGGGCGGCTTGCCTAGGGTATCTTTGGAATGCTGATGTATCATAATGTAGGGGTCATTTAAAAGTCAATGCTGAGGTGAGTGGATTGCCTGAGCCCGCGGGTTCGAGACCCTCCTGGGCAGGCAAGACCTCATCTCTACAATAAATCAAAAGATTAGTCGGGCGTGGTAGCACGTGCCTGTAATTCCGGCTACTCGGAAGGCTGAGGCTGAAGGATCGCCGGAGCCCAGCAGGTCGAGGCT